GAAACAACAAACAGAATCAACTCAACATGCACATGGTGGAAAATAGAAATAGTAGAAAAAACCGCAGTACGAACAATAGTGCTGATCACTAGGACTTTGTGGAGCACACGAAGTCCCACGTCACATTGATCTAGTTCAGCCAGCCCTCTTTAGTTTTCATATTAAGAAAAGCCCAATGATGGAGCCTGTTGTTGCAAAGGTTAAGGGCTTGCGCGAATACTACATCAGTCTCGCTGTAACCATCTTGCAACAGAATTTGATGGACTTGGGCCAACTCCTCAGCATCTGTGCCTTGATGGGCTTTCTAGGACCTAGCCTCCCAGATGATGTGGCTCAGGTCTTCAAGGTAGTCATCAATGGATGGAGTCTTGCTACTCTTCTTACTGCGAGGACTGTTAACAGAATATTCCCTATGGACTCTCTTCGAGGGCTGACCACCACTATGTGGTAGGACTGGCTCATCCGACAAGCCTGGAGGAGTGCGAGGGCTTCCACTACTTGGTGTCTTGTCAGGTTGATGCCCCCCCACCGATACCAACTCGCCCCTATCACGTGGGGTGCGTCCCAAAATCATGATCAGTTGCTCACAGCATTGGGGGCGTCTGAACTTGTCACGAGTGGGTTGGCTACTTTCCTGCACGTGTTCTAGTGATGGCGAAGTTAGTACTGAGTTAGTGGGGACCTAATTGCTAAAAAATAGTCTAGGAAATGCGTGTAGTTAGTACCCCGGGGCTGGCGCCGTACCACTCGGGGTCAGCTGTAACCTCTCCAGTAAGCGGGTCACGGCCTAGCCCAGTATGGGTCTGGCCGTAGCGCCAATTGAAATACAAACATTTCAGCTCATTGTACTTGTTCTGGCACTTTTTCTTGGTGTACCCGAGCCTCGTGGCTTCGTTGAAGCCACGAACAACATTGGTCCACCCTAGTGAGGTTGGTGAAGTGGTGTTCTAGTGACAGAGGTCTTTCTGCTTGATGATTAGGTCAAGAAGGGGAGAGCAGGTTCTATCATCCCAGCTAGCACGTTCCTGGCTCATCTGATGCAAGGATAGTCATTCGAAGGGATTATGTACATGGATGCATATCTTATGTTATACGGAGGGTAGTTCCCAATACGCAAAGATGAGAATGGGGGACGGAAAAGAGAACTTGCCTTTTCGAACCGTTTGCGGTGTTTTGAGCGGAGGTTGTAATGCCTGCCAGTAGGTGGAGAGCAAGAGGAAGTCGACGACGCTGCCAGTTTGGGCAGCGTTGGTCACCAGCGAATCAAACGTCCCTGAAATCTCTGTAGTGTAAACATAGAGCATACTTGTAAGATGTTCATTTAAGCAGTGTTGACGCAGCTTCTAAAGTTATAGTAGCCTATAGAATGGGTGCAGTTGAAGGATACAAGCTAAATGGGTTATACTAACAAAACTATAATGCTTGCATATGGTAGAGAAACCAATAGCCCCTGCTATTAGTGCAAGAAGGGAGAAAAAGAATAACTGCGATAACATATAACGTCTCATATTGCATACTGTGAACACGCATTTGCAGGCATACAAACATGTGAGATTATCAAGATTGCATGCATGTATTCATGTGAAACCCCTAGTTCCAACAAATCGACAGGTAATGGACAAACCCCTAGTACCAACAAATCAACAGCTCTTAGTGGCTGAAAACTCTCCATTCCAGGTACACAACAAACACACTGGTACTCAAGTAAAAACAACCTGGAATCTGAAGTAATAGATGAAGCATTTGAAGCTAAAACATAACACTGGAACCTGTAACCTATGATCTAGTGTAAGCAAAAGCACTGTATGTAATTTCTAGAGCACATTGTTTGACAGCATACATAAATGATATATTGCATCTTCTGTTCTCCTTTCTACTATCCAATTACCTTGCATACATTGGTTTGTTGATATATGCTGTTACCTGAGGTTTGGAATTGCACTATGATAGTTCACACTTCCACAACCAACAAACTCTTATCTTTCAATGGAAATAATCTTAGCCTTAAATTGAATTAATTGAGTAGGCGGTTCTTGATATTTCCAGCACCTCTGCATTAAAAATAAGTTACAAGAAGGGTACACCGACAGATAATTCGCTTTACTGTTAAAGGATTCACATTCACAGGGGCAAAGCTACAGCTTGTCATCGGAGTCCGTCGACCCCGATGGATTTGACAATTTCAATGAAAAATTAGTGCATATAGTACTAAAAGTTCCTAATGAGTAATATGACCCCACCTATTTATAGACATGACCCCATAATCATGTAATCCAGATTCGCCACACTGGACATTCAAGGCATTTGAGACAAAGGATTTCACTTCGTAGATGTTTATGTTTTTTTACTTCTCATTTATGTATGCTGTCAAACAATGTGCTCTAGTGCTTACAAATGCTCTAGTGTTAACAAAACCACTTTATGTAATTCCTGGACTATGATCAAAAAGCAAATAGCGAATTTGGAAATGATGGGCTACACCTGGAAAGAGGACGGCGGCTCGGAAACACCTGGAAGGAGCAGACGTCGACCGGGTCCTGGTGGTGATGATGGGTGTAGCGCGGGGGTAAACCTACAAGACAAGGCAGTGGGGCTCATATCCGTCCGGGTGAGACTGTGGCGACGTACAATCCGGGGGCTTACCGTGCTGGAGAGAGTCGCCGTTGATGGAGGCGGGGTCGTGGAGGGAGGCGGAGAGCACTGTCAGCGAGGCCCGGCGAGAGTGCGGGGAAACCCTAGCCGCGCGGGGGTCAACCTACAAGACGACGAGCTGGGGCTCAAAGGCGGCCAGGTGAGAGGACGGCGGCGTGGGATTCGGTGTTACCTTGCTGGCGGCGAAAAGCGCCGTCGATGGAGGCAGGATCGGGAAGGAGGCGGACGTCCATCGCCACCGTAGGCCCAGCGAGGAGGACGGCGTAGAGAGGCGGGCGCGACGGATCCGTGGCCTGTGACGGGGCCCGCGACGAACGCGACGAGACGACACCGGGACTTCATGGAGAGACGGCGACGAGCGGTGCTTGTCTGGAAACCCTAGCCACCGACGCGAAGGGGAGAATATGAGGGGCGCCGCACGCTGGGGATTCGGAGGACGAAGCGGCGGGTGGCTTATAACCAGCCGCTCGGCTGGGGCTGGGCTGCTGCCGAGCGGCTGGGTTGATAAGCCCAGTACCAGTCAGCCCAGCTAGCCCTACCGAACAGGCTGGAAGAAAATTCTGCTGAACTGGTGGTAGTAGGTGAGCATAAATCCCCCCTGGGAGATCTGTGCTTAAGAGGGTGTGACCTTTTCTTCTCTGGCTCGAGTGCACTGGCGCTATGGAAATGTTTTGGACAGCTAGCAACTTTAAAAACTGCTCAGTGCGATGCTCTAGTCTACTGGCCAGAGAAATTGTTCCAGGGCCTAGTATCCTTGAGGACGTTAGGGATTTTATGGTGCAACAAACTGACAGGACTCACGGAAGATGAAGCTTCTCATGAGCAATCTGCTCTCGTACAACGGAGTGGAACCCTCCTGCCACGTCTGGAGTCCCTAGTGATACGTGGCTGCGAATCTTTGGTACAGGTCCCAAACCTATCGACGTCTCTCAAGACGTTATTTATTGGGGAGTGCAAGAGTCTCAAATCCATTGCATTCGGTGAGCAGCAGGACACGACGGGGCTGGAAACGTCGTCATCATTGATCGCTGCAGGGTCGTCCTCGTCCAGCAATGAGCATGAATCCACGGTGTCTACAGCTGTAGTTATGAAGCCGGTGTCATCATCATCAGCCAGCTGTAGACCTTGACGATTTCGCATTGTGGCAGTCTTGTATCCCTGTCAGGAGAGGTCCCGTCGCTGGAACAACTCAATGTTTGGTCTAAACTCTAAAGCAGCTTCCACCGAGCCTACAGCAACGTCTGGATAACCTCGAGGAGAAATATCTAGACCCCCATCTTCTTCAAGGTAATCTCTACTTAATTTCTTGGTTTCATTTTAACTAATTTAATATAACTGGTCAGGAGCTCGATTGTTATTATTCTAGTATTAATTATCACAAGACGTGACGCGATTTACAGATAAATAAAAAACCTTAAAATAATGAAGTGTGTAGAACATCTATTCAACCATGTACAGGAGATCTAGTGAGCCATGAAGTGCACGCAGCAGATGGGTAAATACGTACGTACATGCAAAGTTTAAGAATCAACACGCCGGCCGCCTTAATATTTACATAGATATCTTTTTGTATATAATATGACACTTTTGGGTGCCTACATACGAATTTAGGATAATAATAATAGTAATATTTGGACGGTGGACTATGGCACTTCACCAGCAATGTCTCTAATTCCACCTTCATTTACATGCATATATAAATTCTAACATCATCTATGATCAGGGCTTACTGGGAGAATCGCATCATTAATGAATAAGCTGGGGTGCTTCAGATCGAGGAGTCAGGACTAGATGAAAGTTGTAACCAAGGTTCGTACGTAATATCAGCATGCTTGATGACTGCCCTTCTTCTTTTTTGAAATTCCAGTGATGCTAGCTCTTGAAGCTGACTTCCTCGTAGGATTGTTTGCAGACTCTGTAAATGATTGGTCGTTCTTGCGTGAACCTTCCAGAAGCTAATTAATCTCCAGTGAAGTCGTCTGATTAAAGAATAAATTGCATAACCTTTCTTAGCGAGTAAAGTCGTCTGATTGAAGAATGTATTCTCCAGTAAAGCTAGTCTTGCATTGCAATAAAGTGCTCAAAGGTGAGAGGGCTAGTACTGCAAGGAAGGAGCTGATCTCACCTGTACATTAGGCCGGCTACATCATATTGTTCTGGTCGATGCAACTAACCAAGCAGAGCCACTTGGCTGATAGCAACTTAATAGAAAATCAGCGCACGCGTTACTGGTTACATCTTCCTCCAAAGCAGCTCCTCATCAGATCCACATCCACTCCCTTCACCACCCAGCAGCTGTGCTTCCTTGCACCCTGCACCCGTGTTCTGATCGAGCTCCAGGAGTTCCGATGGCGGAGGTACTGGCCACCATGGTGGTCGGGCCGCTGGTGTCCATGGTGAAGGAGAAGGCCTCCAGCCACCTCCTGGACCAGTACAAGGTCATGGAGGGCATGGAGGAGCAGCACAAGCTCCTCAAGCGCAAGCTGCCCGCAGTCCTGGACGTCATCACTGACGCCGAGGAGCAGGCAGCGAAAAACAGAGAGGGGGCGAAAGCTTGGCTTGAGGAGCTCCGGACCGTGGCCTACAAGGCGAACGATGTCCTTGACGAGTTCAAGTACGAGGCACTCCGCCGCAAGGCAAAGGCAGAGGGGCACTACAAGCAGTTCGGTATGGATGTCATAAAGCTCTTCCCTTCTCACAACCGGTTTGTGTTCCGTCATAGGATGGCAAACAAGCTCCGTATGATTTTGCAAGAAATTGATGTCCTCATAGCAGAGATGAATACCTTTAGGTTCGAATTCAAACCACAGCCACCAATGTCCATGAAGTGGAGGCGGACAGATCCTAACATGCCAGACAATTATGTGAACATTGCAAGTGACTCAAGAGCAAAAGAGAAGAAGGAGATTGTTGATGCATTGCTTGGCCAAGGGGGCAATGTGGGTCTCACAGTCCTTCCTATAGTAGGAATGGGTGGGATGGGCAAGACCACATTAGCGCAGCTTGTTTACAAGGACTTCGCCATTCAGAAGCACTTCGAGGTTCAGATCTGGGTGTGTGTGTCGGGAAACTTTGATGTGGACTCCCTGTTTGAAACAATAGTGAAAGAGGCTAAAAAAAATGGCTATCAAATGACTGGTGGTTCAACAATGGAAATGTTTAAAAGTGCAGTGAGTGGGAAGAAGTATCTCCTTGTACTAGATGATGTATGGAACCGTGAGGCCAACAAGTGGGATAAGTTGAGGTCCTACCTTCATCATGGTGCCCCCGGTAGCTCAGTTTTGACAACAACTCGTGATGAAGAAATTGCTCGGTTCATGGGGACAATCGAAGCCCATAAGATCAAGCACTTGGAACAAAGCTACATAGAAAAAATTATCGAGAAAGAAGCATTTAGTGTGCAAGCACAAAAGCCTGATGATCAGCTACTCAGTATGGTTGGTGATGTTGCGAAGAGATGTTCCGGTTCTCCTTTAGCTGCTACAGCATTGGGTTGTGTACTTCGTACTAAGAATACCGTGCAAGAATGGGAGGCGGTATTAAACCGAAGCACAATTTGTGATGACGAAAATGGAATCGTACCAGTACTCAAGCTCAGTTACAATTGCTTGCCACCACATATGCGACAGTGCTTTGCCTTTTGTGCTATGTTTCCTAAGGATCATGAGATTGATGTGGAAATGCTGATCCGACTATGGATCTCTAATAGTTTTATCCCGGAGCAAAAAAGAGTGTGTCCTGAAGACATTGGTAAACAAATTTTCAATGAGCTAGCGCAAAGGTCATTTTTTCAGGAGGTGCAGCAAGACAAATTTTACAGACAAATTACTTGTAAAATCCATGACCTTATGCATGATGTTGCACAGGATTCAATGGGAAAAGAATGTGCTGCAATAGATACAAAACTGAGCCAAAGTGAGGATTTTCCATACTCTGCTCGCCATTTATTTCTATCAGTTGACATTGAAGAAAATGTTTTGAATGCTTCCATAGAGAAAGGGTCTCCAGCTATCCAGACACTAATATGTGATAGATCCAAAATAGCAGATGTGCAGAAATTATCAAAATATTTGAGGCCTGTCCGAGCCTTAAAGACATGGCAAGGTCGATTTCTAAAGCCGAAATATCTTCATCACCTAAGGTATCTTGATCTCTCAAGAAGTAATATTGTAGCACTTCCTGAAGACATTACCATCCTGTATCATCTGCAAACATTGAACCTATCTTATTGTGCACGTCTTCAACAACTTCCAAAGGCAATGAAGTATATGACTGCCCTCCGTCACCTCTACACTCACGGATGTCCGAAGTTAACGAGCATGCCTCCAAACCTCGGACACCTCACTTCCCTGCAGACGCTTACATGCTTTGTATTAGGTACTGGCTCGGGTTGCAGTAACATGGAAGCGCTGAAGAACTTGGACCTTGGTGGCCAGCTGGAGCTAAGGAAGCTTGAAAATGCGACAGGAGCAGATGCAAAAGCAGCAAAACTCTGGGACAAGAAAAGGCTGGAAGAACTAACATTAAGATGGTCTGACGATAATGACAAGGAGGCACATAAGGAGGTGCTGGAAGGCCTCCGACCTCATGATGGGCTAAAGGCTCTGAGGATGTATTGCTGCAGTAGCAGTGGTATTCCAACATGGATGCTTGAGCTGCAAGGCATGGTGGAGCTCGAGTTAGAAGATTGCCAAAATCTCGAGAAGCTTCCTGCACTCTGGCAGTTACCGTCCCTCCAGTTTCTTCACCTGAGCAACCTACAAAATTTACATTGCTTGTTCAGCGGTGGTGCCCCGTCCAAGTTTCAGAAACTGAAGATGATGTCGTTGAAGAATATGCCAAATTTTGAGATGTGGTGGGAATGGGATAGGAATGAGGTGCAAGGAGAGGAGCAGATATTATTTCCTGAGGTTGAGAATCTACGGATCGTGCTTTGTAGAATATGCCAAATTTTACGATGTGGTGGGATAGGAATGAGGTGCAAGGAGAGGAGCAGGTATTATTTCCTGAGGTTGAGAATCTATGGATCAGCGGTTGTGGAAAGCTGATAGCATTACCAAAAGCGTCGGTGATTAAAAAATCATCCGGTAGAGATGGCGCTGAGTGCCGCTCCCCGTTTCCAGCATTGAAGGGATTGTGTTTAAGTGGTCTGGACAAGTTTCACAGATGGGAGGCGGTCCAAGGATCTTTAGGAGAACAAGTAACATTTCCTTCGCTTGAGCAACTAGAAGTTATTGGTTGCCCAGAGTTGACTACTTTTCCGGAAGCACCGAGGCTAATAAATGTAGAACTATTGGGCTCGAGTGCACTGGCGCTATGGAAATGTTACTTGTTCGAGTGCAACAAATAAAGAAGAAAAATCTGCCGAACTGGTGGTAGTACGTGAGCATAAATCCGCCCTGGGAGATCTGTGCTTAGGAGGGTGTGACCTTTTCTTCTCTGGCTCGAGTGCACTGGCGCTATGGAAATGTTTTGGACAGCTAGCAACATTGGACATTTATCCTTGAGGACGTTAGAGATTCGCGAGTGCAACAAACTGACAGGACTCACGGAAGATGAAGCTTCTCCTGAGCAACAAACTGACAGGCCGTTTTGCTTGCCAAATTACCTGTTCTATAATGTACAAATTAGTTTTGGCATGTCACACTACCATGAAAACATTGTTTATTTTACACTTGTGTTGTATCTCATTCATTCATACAGAGCAAGTGGAGCTAGATTCCAAACCAGAGTCCATGTCCGATGGAGCATCTACATCTGTAGTACTGAAGCAGTCATCATCAACCGGCAGTAACCATTGCTTCTTTCCATGCCTAGAATCTCTAGTGATATATCATTGCGATGGCTTGACAGAGGTTGCCAACCTTCCTCCGTCCATCAAGACCTTGGAGATTTGGTGGTGCAGCAGTCTTGTTTCCGTGTCAGGAGAGGTCCCGTCACTGGAAAAACTCAATGTTTCGTCTTGCCGAAGCCTGAAATCCTTACCGAATGGGCCTGCTTATCAAGCATACTTATCTCTTAGAGTTCTTGAGATTCAATTGTGTGATGGTATAAAGCAGCTTCCACCGAGCCTACAGCAACGTCTGGATCACCTCGAGGAGAAAACTCTAGACCCCCATCTTCTTCAAGGTAATCTCTACTTAATTTCTTGGTTTCATTTTAACTAATTTAATATAAATGGCCAGGAGCTCGATTGTTATTATTCTAGTATTAGTTATCACAAGACGTGACGCGATTTACAGATAAATAAAAAACCTTAAAATGATGAAGTGTGCAGAACATCTATTCAACCATGTACAGAAGATCTAGTGAGCCATGAAGTGCACGCATTGATACACAGATGGGTAAACACGTACGTACATGCAAAGTTTAAGAATCAACACGCCGGCCACATTAATATTTACATAGATATCTTTTTATATATGTCATTTTTTGGTCCCTACATATACGAATTTAGGAGACTATAATAATAGTAATAATACTTGGACGGTGGACCATGGCACTTCACCAGCAATGTCTCTAATTCCACATTCATTTACAGGGAGAATTGCAGCATTAATGAGTAAGCTGGAGTGCTTCAGATTGAGAAGTGAGGACTAGATGAAAGTTGCAACCAAGGTTCGTTATATCAACATGCTTAATGAATTCTCTTTTTTACTTTTGGAAATTCCAATGATGCTGACTTCCTCGTAGTATCGTTTCCAGAATCTGCAAATGATTGGTCGTTCTTGCGGCACCCTTTCTGAAGCAAATTAATCTCCGGTGAAGTCGTCTGATTGATGAATGTATTGCATAAACCTTTCTTAGTGAGTAAATAAAGTCGTCTGATTGGAGAATGTATTCTCCAGTAAAGCTAATCTTCCAATAAATAAAGTGCTCAAAGGTGAGAGGGCTACTACTGTAAGGAAGGAGCTGATCGCAGGCCCTGATCGAGTTTGAGCAGAGAGCAAGTACTATAGACTGCAAGCTCAAGAATTTATTTAGCAGACAGAGCTCCAGGCTAGCTCTCCACCATTTCTTGGACCTTCTGTTTTCCTGTTGAAATGAAATGTGTTTGAGTTTGCATTGTGCTCTAGCAAAGTAGAAAAAAAAAACACAGGTAGCAGTTCAATGATGTACTATTTTCCCTACATGACTACGTGGCGAGGATAACAGCCAGGCAAGCTGCGAGTGCCCTGTTTCAGTTCAGGGCAGCATCACAAATTAAAATCCAACTAACTACTGGACCTGGACTTGGGCTGCACACGCCCGCTTGAGGACAATAACTAGGTGGTTCATTGTAGGATTGTTACCAGACTGCACATGATTGGTCGTTCGGGAAAATGTATTGCATACCCCTTTCTTAAGCTAATCTCCATAATTTCTTCTGATGCAAGAATGTATTGCATGCCCTTAGTTTCTTCTGAAGGTAATTTAGTTAGCACACAGAGCTCCAGGCTAGCTCTCCATTTCTTGGTCCTATTGTTTTCCTTTCGAAATGTACTGCATAATTTCTGAATAAGATAGCAGTCCCATCCCATGATGTATTATTTTCCTACATTGACTGCGGTGGGGTGTGTGTGTTGGTGGGGGGGGGGGTGCCCTGACAAGTTCAGTTGAACTTGATATGCCTTATAAACTAGACCGGATGGAGTATATATCTAGAAAGACCTGCAAGCCGAGCAACATCAGTGCTCAAATGTTCAACGCAGAAAAAACTAGGACTATGGCTAGGCTTACAATTTGCACTGGATTATAGTACATTTAACTTGTTTGAACACGAGAACATGGCATGCCAAGTCAAGAAAATATTACATCAAAATGACTTAGCTAAAACTCCAGGAAAACCAAAGATGCACACAGCCCAACATCATAAACCAAACTAGGAAACACCCAAAGGTTATCTGGTCGACCGGTATTGCCATAGGGATAAGCATCAGGATACACAACGGGCCTCCAATTTCTACTAGACATTGCCTGACCAAGCTCGACCACAGTCCAAGGTTTATCATTCTTCTTCGACTGGGCAGCAAAATGCCGGGTTCCTTTGATCAAAGCTTACAAAGATGGCATGGTTTCCCAAATTCTCCACCTTCACCCACTTAGGTGGTACGATGGAGAAATCAAGCCTGAAAACTCTAAAGAAGACAGTAGGCCTATCAGTGCTCATTGAGAGGTCAACCATGAGAAACATGTCACCACATACCACCAGCCAATACATCACAGCGTGGGCCACAACACTATCTTCTCTCCAGTACTCTGTCCAGTCAATATCTACTTCATGTATGCTTAGTTGAGGTGCCAATGAGAACGAGCTCTGGCTCGGTTGGCAAGCCGTGCGGGTGAGCACGCTGCCCGCCCGCGTTCGAAGCCTGGCTTCGACGCCGGTGTCTCACCCAGGAACATAGTTCCCTAGATAATTTCAGTTGTCTCTCGCGCAGACGTGCCACAATGGTCAAGTGACGTGCCTGTCACGCTCGGAGTCTGATGATTTTCAAGTACCTCTCAGCTGCGTTCGTTGTCTAGGTATAGTTGTAGGTTTGTTCGTATACCGTGTGTGTGTGAGGTGTGCGTGTGTGTGGTGGTGTGTGTCAGTATCCGAACAGATTCTACAACTGTACTTAAGATGAGAGGCAAAAAAAAAAGTTGAGGTGCCAAGCGAATGGTGTGGAGCCCATCCAATTGATCCCTGGCAAACATCTCACCTTTAAAAAACACGATTCGAAAGATGCTTGGGGTATCTAGAGGATGCTCCAACCAAGAGTTAGACCCAACTTGCCACTGGAAAATGGATGACCCTGTGCAAAGGAAGAGATGCGAGTTGGGCGACTTGAGGGAACCATCAAGGATTCCGTAGTAGATCTCATGCTTGCCTGTCGATTTCAATTTGGGAGGCCTCACGGTAGTAAAACCAAAAACATCTACAAGGAGGCACTGATTCGAGTTGGAGAATATAAGATTACCATATGAGCAACCCAAATAGTGCATGCGGTTTGGATGGTTGTGGGGTGGCGACAAGCGACAGGAGGAGGATCAGTGAGCTGCCACTCACGATTGTATAGAGGACTGTACTTGATGCGGCTGTGGCCGCGATGAGGATAATGGATGTGAGATTGCAGGCAGAGAGGTGGGACATTGCAGCTCAATGTAGATGGGAAGGATGTGAACGCAGCGAGCCAAGAGCGGCAGGTTGCAGCAAAAGCAATGATGTCATTGGATGAGCTAAGGAGAGCAATAATTTGGTGAAGCAGACAGTCCAGGAGATCTGCCCAAACATTGGGGGCTGGATACGACAGAGGATGTACAGCTCTTACTCGAGGCATGGCAGGGCTTCTTAGATGGCCTTTTTGCAACATCATTTTTCCTGTCAAACACAAGGAATTCAATACATGTTGATCAGAAGAAAGAAAGCAGAGAGCACTGTGATAAACTGTTAGAAATGTAAAAAGATGTTTCTATACACTAAGGAAAACAATGATTTCCTTCCATTTTGTTGAGCTACCAGCATAATAGGACGCATATCAACACACTAAACTTAAATTAGTAATATTTTTAGAATCACAACAAAGGGGTATTTAAATTTGCTTCATATGTAAGTCCTCAAGATGAATAGCATGAAGCAACAGAACATAAAAGGTTTTCATAACACACCAAGTGCAGGATTCAGAGCAAGCCCAATCACAATGTAGTGCAGAAATTAATCGATCTCCCACTATTCGGTAGATCCCAAAATACCATAACAAACAACTGCATAAGCAACCTGCAGTGCCAAAATTAACCCCATATGTCCTATGTGCGATGTATCAGAGGTTTAACATCTGCACTCTATTACTAGACCGAGAGCACAATGGCAGGCTCGACTTTTTTTTCTCTAACAGGTTATAATCTTGAGTTTAGTGATGACCATGTCCTAACTAACAGCAGATCACTACTAGTACTCGCAAGACCCACAAGGATCACTCCAGGTGGTATTTGATCGAGGAGCAGCTACAACTGAAACGCTCTGCACTCCAGGTGGTATTTGAAATACTCTAGAAGGGTGTCTCTAGTGCCCTTCTTGCCTTCAGCACCTACATTTGTGTTTCTGAACTGAAGTGTAAAACGATACTGAATAGTGCTTATTAGAAACTGAATGCCATGATGGATCGGGGATGACCCTTAAAAACCAACTAACAGCGGATCACAGCATCTAACAGGAGGCCATGCATGAGAGTCCATTGCCTCATACACGTGACATGCATGGGTTCTCCATTTGCTCCGATTCGGCTCCATATCCATCCAACCAAAGACAGACAAACAATGCATCGAGGGTTTGGGAAATGGAGGGAGTACGGGCCCGAGATCGGCGGGATCCTGCAGTGCGGGTTCGTCTGTCGATGGGGCTGGCGCCCGACGTGCTCCTCGGCTGCTGCGGCGGCGGCCGGCCATGGGCTCCGTCGCGTGGTCGCGCGAGCCAGCGGCAAGGAGATGAGAGGAGCGGAACACTCGAAGTCTGAATTCTGAATGGGCACGAGCTAATAGTACACTATGCTAACATAGCATCATGAAGAGGATGAATGCAAGATTACCACCTCTGGCTCGAGTAGGGATGTTTCCCAAAGCATTATAATCATCCTTCTCATTCCACCAAGGACCTGCAGGAACATTATTCAGGAATTTCACATGATAAGTTAATATATGCTCTAGAAGACTAGAAAAGCAACAGAACTATCCACGGATAATTGATAGCATAGCAGTATATCATACCATATCCACAGTTATGTTTCCAAGCTGGACGTTTCCATGCTCTGAGTTAAGCTTCTTCAAGCGATCCTGTAACAACACAGACTAACATCTGAGAACAGCAAGGCCAGATGAACAGGTGTTCATATGTCACGAAGACAAGTGGTCAGATAAACCAGGTGTGAAGTTGATGATGAGGTACCTCATCATTCCTATGCCAAAAGCATTAATAGGAATGATGAGGTACACATCAAACATGACTCACAAGCTCTGGAGATTAGGAGGAAGATTATAAGAAATGCCACTGCCTTCAAGATTATTGTTGCCCATATCCCTGCAGAACACAAAAGTACGATTAAAACAAGAAAATGACATGTCTGTAAACATCCGAGCATTGACATTTAAGAGAGCATGTGATATCTAAATTACAACTAAACTAGTACAGTGAGCTGGTTCATATCTTACTCTAGACATATCTGCCGGCGATGTCCAATTTAGATTCCTAGCAAGCAATCCATCATATATCTCATACTGTAAGAAACCAAACGAGTAAAATGTATTGATGCATGTGTAGAAATTGAACTGAAAGTGCTAAGGGGAGAAGTAACAAAAGAAAGAGTTGTGTCCATTGTTTCAGTAATCATAATGTATCCTAATGTTTCTATTATATATAAGCTCAGTTTTTTCTTATTGTATCCCATTCAGCAGGCCAATACAGGAAGATTACTTTTCACATTCAGTTACTACTTATTTGTTCAGACTCTAACCCTACAAGCCAACAACTGAACAAATAATTCTAAGTTTTACAATCCTGCTCCAAATATCCAAAAGTCTACTTTTAAACTCTAACCCTACAAACTGAGCAGACAATTGGAGCAAGCACTTCAGCAGCAGCAGGGTGCAGAATAGAACATTTAATTTGGTACATTACGAGTTATTTTGAGTTGTCTAGAAATGAAGAAAAAGCATTGATGCTAATTTCAGCAAAAACAAGTGCAAATTACAACTCGCTCTCATCACTCATCAACGTACGTTGCATAAAAACAATGCCTTCATCCTTTTACAACAAAGCTGCAAAAAAGCAGCCTTTTCAATCTGGTCAGTCTATGGTGCAAAGCAAGGGAAATTAGAAATAGTGCAGTTCAGGGCACTAGCGCACCACCAATTAGGCCTAACAAGATCAATTAAACCATACAGGTTTAGAACATTCAGGCATTAGCAACATACCTAGCACACACTAATTAGGACTAACAAGATCAGAAATCTGAAGAGGCATTAGCAGCAGTCTATCATAACCTGAATGACTAATCTGTGACGGCCAACTTGAAACAAATGCACTAGTCCACTTGCACCTCTAAAAATCTATTATTCAGTTTACATCAAGATGCACCACCCACAGGTAAGGAAACCTAATGCAAATCGGACTACTAGTCCATTAATGCTAGCTCTCCTCTTTGCTTCACGGCTCATTCTACTTCAGTTGACTGATTGGACAATCATCAGAACATTCTATCGATGAGCAGTGGTGGGTTGCTTTACCTCGAAGTGAATGGAGATATCATCCGTGGTGGAGCAGGGAGGGGGGCACTCGTTGTAGGATTTGATGTAGTCACCCAACATCTGCTGCTACGCCTTGCTGGCGTCCTTCGTCGTCCAGCTGCTGTGTGAGCTGAGATCTGAGGACGGTGGTGGTGGTGGTGCCCGGATCTGAGGCCTGAGGGAGGGTGGTCGCACGATGTAGCCGGCCAGGGACGGCACAGCCACCGCTCCCCAACCCACCGCGCTGCCGCAGAATCGTTGCCCATCTCCCTCCCTCTAGACCTCACCCATCGGGCCGTCTCTCGATCGCGCGCCAGACACGCTTCGCACTTCGCCTCACCGCCGCACTCTCCTCGCTCACAGCCGCCACGCCCGCTAGCAACGCCGCCGCCTCCCCGCTCTCCCTCCACGTTGCGCTCAGCCTGCTCATCGCTGGCACGGGCGGCGCCAGCGAGACCAGCTCGCCGCCGCACTCGGCGGGGGTGATGGGCCGGCTGCGGCCCAGAACCTGCACATGCTCGCGGAGCAGGTTCCGCAACTCATCCTCGCCGCCGTGTATGAAGTCAACTTGGTTGGGGCAGGGGGAGAGGTGGTGGCGGCGGAGGATGGAAAGGGGATGAGAGAGAGACGGGACGGGGGATGAGAGAGAGAGAGAGAGGACGGGACGGGGGAGGGGAGGCTGAGGGGGTTCCGGACTTGAGTCCAGACTTACACCCCGTTCGGCTGTACCAGCTTATTCTCTCTCACAGAACATTATTCAATCATCTTAAATAAACCAGCTGTCCACTGTTGAACCTACCAGCCGAACGAGGTGTTGTTTTCATCTTTTTTTCGGGTCCGAGGTGTTATAGTATAGACGTATTTTCTTGAAACGCGTCGCTGAGAAGGAGCCCCTGATATCAATGACGCGTCTAGTTGGGAAGAGTCGCTGAAGCTGTCAATAGTGACGCATTTTGTTTCTTGGCCATAGGTGAGCGACGCGTACCATTTATCTGCGTCACTGTTGTTATATTAGTGACGCGTTTCAACTCTAGGTCACTGATTAAGGTGTCTCCTTTGTGTTGTTTTGGCATAGTGTTCTTTTGCTCAGCCGTGTAAGCTGGAGTCCCAGGCATTGTACCGAACAATTTGCTTTCTTAAAAGGAGAGAGAGTATATATTCTCCTTTAAAAAAAAAGACATCACAAATCTCAGGCATCTGATGGTGGAGGTTGCTTTCACTAAACATGGGCCATCTTGGGTGAGGTTGGAGTGGAGGAAGATGCTCCAGACTCCAGAGTGCAGAAATTCCTTGTGTGCCATTAAAAAAGATCGTAATGTTCTGTGTGCTCCTGAAAAAGTTCAACGGTCTTCAGCGTCACTGCTCCAACTTTTTTGTGCCCTCCATGCCACTGCTGTCAGTTTGGGCTCTAACACAGTCAAACTGCAGGTGTGAAAAGTCAAAAATACCCTTATGTCTAAATATGTCATTAATTTTTTTTGACCATCTTAACGACTTCAAATGAAAAAACTCAAAATTAGAAAGTTGTAGATCTCGTCGAGATCTATAATTTTCATATAAAAGTTATCTTCATTTAATTCCGCAAAAAAATATGATTTGATATGATTAATATATCTTAGAAAAATCATATCCTTTTTGCGGAATTAAATAAAGATAATTTTTATATGAAAATTATAGATCTCGACGAGATCTACAACTTTCTAGTTTTGAGTTTTTTCATTTGAAGTCGTTAAGATGCTAAAAAAAAATTAATGACATATTTAGACATAAGGGTATTTTTGACTTTTCACACCTGCAGTTTGACGGCGTTAGAGCCCAAACTGACGGCAGTGGCATAGAGGGCACAAAAAAGTTGGAGCAGTAGCGCTGAAGACCGCTGAACTTTTCTAGAGACACACAGGGCATTACGATCTTTTTTAATGGCACACAAGAAATTCCCCCATCGAAAATTCTTGTGCGCCTGATAACTAGTAAGCAAGCTCATGTTCACACACATCATCAATATCAGATACGCTAGTACGTAAGCAAGCTACCTCCTGTTCACACACACATCGACCGTCTAAAAACGTCACAAATCTCAGGTTATTTTCACTAAACTCGGCCATTGTATCAACGTATGCCTTTAGTAGGTGCTTATTTGGTGAAGGCAATTATCGTTACCGAATCCTAAAAAAGCCAGCACGGGACCAATCTGCCCAGCCTTTAACATATGCGTTTTTTTATGGTAAGCTTTACAATCCAAAAGTTGAGTCGATTGCCCAAAGCTAAGGCTGCAATCACTGGTAGAGAACCGAGCTTTACTCCCGGTGGGGAACCCCCTCTAGTCCCGGTTCCCCACCCGGGAGCAAGCATCCGGGACTAAAGGGGGGTCCTTTAGTCCCGGGTCAAGAACCGGGACTAAAGGAGGACCTTTAGTCCCGGTGGGTAACACCAACCGGGACTAAAGGTGCCTCCTGACATGCCACGATGGCCGGCACCTTTAGTCCCGGTTGGTAATACGAACCGGGACTAAAGGTTTTTTTCTTTTCATTTTTTTGTTTTCTTTTCAAAATAGGTTTTCGAAGTCGTATTGTACGCTGCTAATTATACATTTATACGCGCATATAGTATGTTTCGGTTCAAGCACAATGAACGTATTAAATCACACAATTCAAGCATAGAAATATATATATATATATATATATATATATATATATATATATATATATGCATGCATGCATCATATATATATATTTACATGCATGCATGCATATGTGTATTTTACATTATATTATTTCATGTGCATATATTACAAAAGATTGCATTATAGTTGTTGTGACATAACAAGTTTCCTCTCATCCTCTAGCTTGGCTTCAATGGCAGTGTTGGGTCGAAGTAGAACTCGCCCTTGGAATCGATGACCTGCTCATTAAAAAATCCGGCTATAGACTCTTGAATTGCTTTGATTTGGTCTTGCCGTATGACCTTTTCCTCCAACCATCGAGTCTACAGGTTTGAATTAAAGGAAAATAAATTAATATATGTACATATATATATATATATAAAGACATAGTAACACAATCAATAATAATAATTAAATGAATATATAGTGTATTTTTAACGTACTTTGAGTCTCTCTGTAGGAGTTCTTTGGGAGAGCACCTTGATAAACTTGCAAACATAGTAACCACAGTAGTTGTTCCCCTGTTCCTGCCTCAGACACCACTTTACGAGAAAAAGATTTGTCATCCAATCTGGTGATCCGGTGAAAGCTATATGTTTAATTAATAAAGATGATGCGATTCAGGGGACTTACTTTCAAAGGGATTACATTCAGTGGCGCTTTGCATTTTTCCATGTGTTGCTTCTCAATAAAGGTTTTCCAAACACTGCCCAATAAAAAATTTGCCACGTCATCAGATATAGTTAATCATCATGTTTGTATGTATATATAGTTGCTAGAGATCCCGAAATTACCTCTGGATAATATCTATCATATCTTGGTAGTCTTGTTGTGGTTTTCTCATCGAGTCATAGATTATCAAGTGACTTTTCACCAGATCGATGTCCATCAATATCCAGTGATTGCTGCATGTGTTTATAGGATATAACGCATAACACTCATTAATTAACTAGAATCAACATATGAGCCATTAAGGCTATGATCGACATGATTAACACTCACTTGAAGTTATAGGGAAAGAGTATATCCTTCTTGTGGCGTTGGTTCACTAAGAAGTTCATGAGGTTACTCTCTGACTCGAGACTTCCGCTTAGTCTTTGGAGTAATTGGGTCTTTGAATACTATATGGGGATCAACAAAACCAATTTCATTGCAACCTTCCTTTCGAGAGCTCACATTGTAAATCTGCATATATATAGTACTTGTTAGGATAATTTATATGCATATACACACATATGATGAGTTTAATAATAGATCGAAAGAATTATTACTTACGAGCAATAGCAGCTAATGATAACTTTGTCCGGAGAGGTCGGTGGCATAGTTGATGAAATTCTGCAAAGTCAACATACATAACATCATCGTCACGGGAACCAATGTTCGCTCTCTAATTACGACACCAACGAGAGTCTCCATTGGTAGACGCCTTTGCATGTACCACTGTTTAGCGGTACATTTGCGTCCCCGGATCGAGATAAGGCTTGAGGGTTGTATAGACTCGCCCTAGTACAAATTTTTTCTTCCAAATATCAACCTCCGCCGACTCTCAATGTTTCCATCACCAAACATCTGGTAAAGGTCGAGACCAGTCTCATCAAGAAATTCACCAAGGTGATCCAAATCGACATCCGGAGGTATGTTTGCTGATGCATTAATCCTAAATTCGAACCATATTCATTACCAACAACTAGCGGGGGATTGATTGGTGCGCTTGTTGTCCGAGTTGGGCAACTCCTTTCCCTGCCCGCTTTTTTTTCATCGCGCCTCGGTTGACTTGGTGAGAGTGCGGTCATAGTCTGATAACGTTGATTTGGACGACTTCACGAGATTCCCACCGTTTGTTGCTTTGGTAAGAAGTCACCTTTTTCTTAGAATATCTGGAGCTACTGAAGAAGTACGGTTTCTCTGGGTTTCTCCTTGCTTCTTGATTCATTTTAAGTTTGTCATAGAATCTAGACATGTCTTTTTATATGCATCAGTTCCTTCTTCTTTCTCTTCGATATTATTTTGGGAATAGCCCTTGGTTTCATGGTGGCTTTCTTTGCAAAAGGGACCGGTTCTTCGTTTGAGGGCTGGCCTCTTGCTAGGCTTCTTGGTAGGCGGGGCGGGGAGGCGTTGGAGACCTCCTTGGAGGTGTTAGCGTGGCGTTGGAGACCTCCTTGGAGGTGGCGGCTGCGACGTTGGAGACCTCCTTGGAGATGGTGTGGATGCAGCCTCGTCTTCCAACACAATGTCATCGTCATGAGCACTATGATGATCTCAAGATTGAACAATTGGATTTAGGTTGGGGAGGATCTGCTACAAAAAAGGAATGACATATTATTATGAGCGATTATTAATTATTTAAGCCAATACAAATTAATGATGTAGTGTTTTCATCCGCACGCACCTATGGTGAGGTAGTTCAGGGAGGAGGTGGAGCCGATATCCTGGAATGATGATGTAAGCGCTTGCGCCATAGAATGAATGTCTTCTCCACTTCTCCTAGAGTCTTCTCGCCATCACCTCCGTGGAATGTCAAGAGGCAAATCACTAAAACCTTTTTTCACTTTATCTACCGAGATGGTAGCATATCCTTCTTGGATTATATTCTCATGAATCCTT